TAACTAATTGTTAGATGTATCCCACTATGAATAATAGCTAGATGGTTGCAACTAACTTTTAATTAGTGACTTCAAGTGCCTCACAATTGAATAATAACTAAATGGTTTCAGGTCAGTATCTATGTATTATATAATTGTTAGACGTGTTCCAATTATCCGTGACAGCGAGATGGTTTCAAATCACTATTAAATAGTTGTTAGACATTTGGCGCTGTGAATAATAGCTAGATGGTTTCCAGTCAGTCTATAAGTATAAATTAGTATTTAGATTGTCTCACTGTTGGATGATAGTTAGATTATTTCAAATCAGTATCTAAGTGTTAATTAGCAACTACAAGTGTCTCACTGTTGAATGATAGCTATATTGTTTGAACTCAGTAGCTAAGTGTTAATTAGTTGTTAGATGGGTCCCACGATGAATGATAGCTAGATGGTTTCAAGTAACTTTTAATTAATAGCTATTTTTATTGGGTTTGGGTGTCATTGTTATGATACCTAATTTCCATGAAACTAGGAATGTAACCAGATTTTATAGACAGATTATAGATGTTTACTTATTTTCTATATACATTATCGTTACAATTCTTAAGCATTATGTATTGTATTTAGGCACAACTTGGAGGTGTGTTTTTAGCAATGCTTTTAATACTTTAAACCCACTGTTTGTGAAGTACACCCAATAAAGGTTTTTTACATCAACAGTTTTGAGGACAGCGCCAAATGTGTATTTTGTAATCGGGAGAAGGTTTAATTTTCTAACTTACTTATGTTTTACATTATATTCACGTTAACAAACAAATAGGCTAGCCTCCATTTACAAAACAGATTAAACTCAACTATATCTGTATATTTTTCAAAAACCAGAATGTTTAGAAACTCATGCCTGCGATATGAATCGTTGTTGATATGCCTCACTATTCCGGACAGAAAAGACCAGTGAAATCTAAACAAGCGGTTGTTGACTCTCTATAAACGAACTCTATAGATTCAGCTTCCAGTTTTATACTCTATTCATAAATAGATCTTCAACAGGAAACACTTCTAAGAAAGTTATTCGCGTGAAGAAAACATGTACACTACTACGTAATATATATTCCTAAGTTAGACACCTTTTCCTAAAACTGTATTTTAAATAAATTGTATTATAGTAACAGTAATGATATGAAGAATTACCACAATTTGATTTAACTTATACGTATTTATCTTTCCGTGCTGTATACAAGTATGCATTTATGAAATGTATATACCTATATATACACATTTAAAGAAGGAAAAAAAAACGATAAGCTCTACCTACATCTCACAAATAAAGAAATAAAATCGGTACATAACCAGGAATATTATGAGGAAAACATGTTCTGAGTGATTTAGTTTATAGAATGGATATATTTCAACAGATTGATATATCTTTCCCTGGTTATGAAACATGAGAGGGATAAAGTATTTGAGATATCAAAATTGAATACCCTGTTTTGATCTTCAAGTGATTCTGTAATTATAATATGATTATCAATGATATGTTAAAGAAGTTGGTTCCAAACAAGTTAACTAGTATAGGTTATGACGTCATTTTCTGTTGTTAAATTTGCTATTCAGTGTTCATCAGATTAAGATGGAAAATCCTGTCTTCCAAGGGTACCAACGTTACTTTTACATATTTAATATATAGTTACACACTTCTTTGTTCGTTACTCATATATCATTAATATATATCTACATACTTCAGTGTTGTTCGTTACTCTTACATCATTAATGTATATATAGTTACATACTTCAGTGTTGTTCGTTACTCTTACATCATTAATGTATATATAGTTACATACTTCAGTGTTGTTCGTTACTCTTACATCATTAATGTATATATAGTTACATACTTCATTGTTGTTCGTTACTCTTAAATCATTAATATATCTATAGTTACATACTTCAGTGTTGTTCGTTACTCTTACATCATTAATATATCTATAGTTACATACTTCAGTGTTGTTCGTTACTCTTACATCATTAATATATCTATAGTTACATACTTCAGTGTTGTTCGTTACTCTTAAATCATTAATATATATATAGTTACATACTTCAGTGTTGTTCGTTACTCTTAAATCATTAATGTATATATAGTTACGTACTTCAGTGTTGTTCGTTACTCTTAAATCATTAATATATATATAGTTGCGTACTTCATTGTTGTTCGTTACTCTTAAATCATTAATATATATATAGTTACGTACTTTTGACCATGTATCATTATGACTGAACACAGCGAATATATACTTTTAATCATTTATTGCTTCATTGGGCTAATTTAAGCACAGGTCTAACATGTAAAGTTGATTCATTTATTACCCGTTTAACATATATAGCAGAATATGAACTCTTTCCCCCTTTCACACTCGTGTCCATTTTATGTTGTTGCAAGCCTCTCATAAGCTCCCATTGTCACTGAATAACTATTTAGTATTTTCAACTTGAACAACGCCTTATGCTAAACATGGGCTAAAAGGCCAGATCATAACATCTAAGGTTAAAATATAACTAGCGGAAAGGCAGCCAGTAACAAAAGCTCTGTCCGGCTTTAACCGACAAACGGTTCGAATAACCGTGATAGATATAGATATTCACACAAACGGGTTGACTGTCACTCTTATAACGAAATGAAAGTGTGAGTGTATTTAGTGACATCGTGACATGAATCTTGGACTATATTATCTGCAGACGAACACGTTAATCACCTGGCCACCTCCAGCCCTTCACAGATTATAATTATTAAACTCAAGACCTTAATTGAGTGCTCTAGAGCCTCATAAAGCACACAGTACTCAGACTCGTTAACAAAGGTATAAATTGTGAAAATATTCTCAAGGTTAAAGATCCATGCATTTAATTAACTGAGTTAGTATTATCATTTTAAAACTAGCTATCGAGATATTTTTTATGCTATTTCAAAATCCGCTTTATATAAGAAATGTGTTTATGTCGTTGCCCTTATCTGGACTTGTGGTCAAAATGCAATGGAAAGCTCATTTATTTCTACGAGTGATGTACTTTACTTTATAAAGCAATTCAATGAACCTATTTTAACAGAAAGCTCACAGAAGGACATGGCGAAACTCTACATGAACTAAATATTGTAAAATTGTTTTTTAACTTTAATCGTCGTGATTTAATTGTACTCCAACTTTTCGGGTATCTATTAACGTAATTTTTATTTTATATATTATATTTATTTGTTTGTTTATATGACCCCTAGTGGCACAGCGGCATGTCTGTGGACTTAAAACGCTAGAAACTGGGTTTCGATATCCATGGTGGGCAGAGCACAGATAGCCTATTGTGCAGCTTTGTGCTTACCTACAAACAATTTTTTTGTTTATTCACTAATTTTTGGTAATAAGAAATGTTCTGAATCCTCAATCTGTATGTGCCTGGGAATTAGATTATTTTATCATAATCATGATTATTGGTTAGTGAGCAGTGTAGGGCGCTAATCACAGAAAAAGGGGAGAATTGGTTTGGATTTTTGAATTCGTTACAATTTACCGTTAGCTGCTTTCTCTTGCCTGTAGTTATATTTCTGTAAAATTGTTAAAAGTTTTATTACATCCCAGATTTTCAGATTGATAAATCACCCTTTACAAAGATTAGGCAACTGACCACTTATGTCACCTGAGCAAGTAATGCTCATTCACTGGTCATTAAACAAGGGCGATCGTTTATTTCTTGAATTTTGCGCAAAGCTATTCGAGGGCTATCTGCGGTAGCCGCCACTAATTTAGGAATAATTGACTACCTACCACCAACTGTTAGCTACTCTAATCAAATAGTGGGATTGGCCTTTGCATTATAACGTCCTCACGGCTGAAAAGACGAGTGATTTCAGTGATGAGATTCGAACCGGTGACCCGCAGATTGCGAGTCGCGCACCCTAACCATTAGGTCATGCCAGACCCTAAAAAAAAAGAAGAAAAAAATCAACACATTTCAAACAGATAAAATCACTTCACACCACTGAAAACAAACTCGTTGAATTTACACATTACCTTACTGAATGTAGATTGTATCACGTCACGTGCAGCGCAATGTTAAATGTTTAGAGCTTCTAAACAGTGAAACCTCTCTCTACTACACAATCTGAAGTAGATCCATACGCAAAACTAGTGGTGAAAAAATGAAGTTTTAAGTGTGATAACGTTTTTCGTGAAAAATACCTTTAAGACTCTTAAAATAACTTTTTTCACTTCTTAAACAATGTTTAATTGACACCAGAAAAATTATTTTGTTTCAAAATATTCCGTGAAATCTTGGGATTTAAGTTACTGAATCATATTTTTTCTCCAGATGGTATTAAAATTTTATAGAGTACTTTTTGTATTCTAAGAATCTATGAATGAAAGCAAAGAATAATATGTTATAATATGTGTACCACACTATATCTGCCATATTCAATACCGACGAGGCCTTTCGCTTGATACCAGAGCTTATGCGGGTGGTTGGGATACGAAAAACATAGTATTAGTCTTGGTATTTTATATACATCAATATTCATGAACAACGACTGTTATGGCGTGAACAAGATTAAGCAGGTGGATTGTAATTACTATTAATCTTATTTAAGTCATTTACAAATTATGTAAACTAGCTCCCCATCTTAAGGTTTACAGCGTTAAAAATTGGGCTTCGATAGTGCTTTGGGCGTAATAACAAACAAATCTCCTTTGGTGTTTTTTTCTATGAAACTAGCCTAGACCGAATACGAAGTAAGGGTCACGTGGTTTCAGAAACGGAAGACTGTATATAGAACGTTTTTCTTTTGTCTAGTAGTGGATAATTAGAAGGCGGTACCACAATATTTTGTACTAGAGAACGCGGTCTTACTTCGAACTAAAAACAGAAAGTAACAAAACAGTTCCCAGAAGACATGGGTAAGGAGATTCGGCCGGAGAGTTCGTATATAAATGCCAGAAGTTTTCAAGGATTTCAGATAAGGTGCTGCAATTAAACACCATCCTCCAGTGTCGTTGGTGCAGAAGAAGACTTTGTCAAACAGTCATGACCTTGCACGACAAACAAATCCGTGTGTGCCACTTGTTCGAGCAGCTCAGCTCAGCTACCGTAATTGGGAATGGCGACAAACATAAACATAGCGATAGGCTGAAGAACGTTGGTAAACTTCAGCCTGGTGCTATCTTCTCCTGCTTCCATCCCGACCACTTGGAGGAAGCACGCCACCTGTATGAGGTCTTCTGGGGTAGGTTAAGTTTAGGTTTTCGTTTTACTTATATCACAAAAATGCTTTTGTAAGCATTCTATCTACCGATCCCTTGAGATGTATAAATTTAAAGGAGTAACAAACAATTCGAAATTATTCCTGTTATTTTGAATATGAGTCTGTTACTCGAACAATATACCACAATTTTTAGTATATAAATACATTTTGTAGATCTCAAAAAATTTTAAACCGTTTTGTTAACATTTCGAATATGAATGAAGAAATCCTAAAAAATAATGGAAATTGTTTTCCAGATACTACTAGTAATAACTTCGTTTTTATATAATCCTCTTTATTGTTACTTGACACAGAGGCTGGAGATTTTAATGATTTTATCGAGATAGCGAAGGAAGCTCGTACCTTCGTGAACGAAGGCCTGTTTGCCTTCGCTGCTGAAGTTGCTGTGCTTCACCGTGACGACTGCAAGGGCCTGTACGTTCCCCCAGTTCAAGAAATCTTCCCTGATAAGTTCATCCCATCTGCAGCTATCAACGAGGCCTTTAAGAAGGCTCATGTGCGACCAGAATTTGACGAGGTTGGTTTAAACTGTATAAGTTATTTCATTTATCAAAACTTTAGTTAGTAAATGTTTATAGAAAGTGAAAATAGAAGAGATGAAGAAAAAGAGTAAATTAGTTAAAAAATTATATCTACATGTGTAGTTAACACTAGTTAAGCAAACTGTTAGATGACACCAAAGAAAAAAATTACATGTTTTCAGTGACAAATAACGTAGTTAATTGTTACAGAATTTCCCTTACATTGGAATTAACATAGAAATTATTATGTTTTTACTATAGTCCAGAAGCTAAGACCAAACTACTGAAACTATGTTTTCAAACTAGAAACACGGTCAATGTGATGTCTTAACTTTCTGCTTAAAAAAGGAAAAATATAAAATAAGTTACGTTTCTTTATAGTCTCCAATTCTAGTGGATGTGCAAGATACTGGAAATATTCTGGACCCTGAATATCGTTTAGCCTACTACCGTGAAGATGTAGGCATTAACGCTCACCATTGGCACTGGCATCTGGTTTACCCATCAACATGGAACCCGAAATACTTTGGCAAAAAGAAAGACAGAAAAGGAGAACTGTTTTATTACATGCACCAACAGATGTGTGCCAGGTACACAGATCGCCTCTGTTAGGTTGAAGTGTTTTTTTTTTATTTTATGTGTTTAGTTTATTGGTTGGCTTCCAGTGGCATAGCGGTATGTCTAGAATCCGGGTTTTGATACCCGTGGTGGGCAGAGCACAGATAGCCAATTGTGTAGCTTTGTGCTTAATTACAAACAAACAAAATTTTATTAGTTTATTCCTCTCAACTAAATTAGAATTTTTAATTCAAACTTGACATAAGTCCAGTATGGAAAGGCTGTTTCTCACAACCTAACTAACACATAAAAATCGTTCAGACTTTTTTTTTAATCTAGGCATTTTTGTTCGTGTTATTTTTAAAATGCTATATATTCTTCTATATAATTTGAAAAACAGAACTATGATAAAGGGTTTAATTTGACCCATCGTCCCACCCCAATTTCAAAAACAGTGCTGGATTCTGGAAATTAATGTTTTAATGTCGGCCCGTTACTAATTATTTTAACTCCCAGTAGCTCAGCGGTAAGTCTGAATACTCATAACGCTAAAAACCGGGTTTTGATAGCAGTTCTGGGCACAGCACAGGTAACCCACTGTGTGGCTTTCTGCTTAATAACAAACAAACTAACTAATTATTTTATCCACCTATATAGCAGTCAAAGTAAAAGGGGATTCTAAACCATCATTGACAAGAGTCAGCTTACATATCTTATTATATGATTATAAGTTTCCTTTATCGAACCAGGAATCCAAGTTACACAACAAAATGCTATTAGCTTGTTAATTTAATTATTAGGTTAGTAATTAATATATCAATAAACTTTATGGCATACGACTATTACTTTTTTCGGGTTATACTAAAGTAATGTAAATTCCAATATCTCGTCTGACGAGATTTAAAAGGGATTACTAATGTGTTAAGGTCTAAATTCTAGGTATGACTGTGAGCGGCTTTCCAACGGTATGCATCGTATGTTGCCATTCAACAACTTCGACGAGCCACTGGCCGGATATGCTCCTCATCTGACTCATGTTGCTAGCGGAAAATATTACTCTCCTCGTCCGGATGGTTTGAAACTTAGAGATCTGGGTGATATCGAGATTTCAGAAATGGTGCGCATGCGGGAAAGAATTTTGGACTCCATTCATTTGGGATATGTCATCAGCGAAGACGGCAGCCACAAGACACTGGACGAACTTCACGGAACTGATATTTTGGGTGCTTTAGTTGAATCCAGTTACGAATCCGTTAACCATGAATACTATGGAAACCTACACAACTGGGGCCATGTGACTATGGCTCGTATCCATGACCCTGATGGCAGATTCCATGTGAGATATGATCTTTTCTCTCTCTCTCTCTTTAATCTGTTTGTTTGGTTTTTATGTGTTTGTCATGTTCATAGATAAGATCGACAAATAAGGTTTGGTTTGCAAACGTGGCCGAACAACGACAGCTAAATATAAGAACGCTTTAACTGAGCTGTATATTTCCTGAATAGAATAACTGTCATTTAATTAATTAATTCTGCAAAAAAAAAATCGATTTGTTCCAAATATTACTGTTTTTTAGATGTCATTGTTTGGTAAAAACCGATCTGTTCCAAATATTACTGTTTTTCAGATGTCATTGTTTGGTGAATATTTATTTGTTTCATATATTATTGTTTTCCAGATGTCATTGTTCAGTGAAGCCGAATTAAGGAATGATCTTCATTTGTATTAATTGTTTTATTTAAAATATGTTTTGAAAAAAAAAACTCATTTTATAAAAGGAATCTCATAAACTGTAAATCAGTCAAATGTGAAATAGACTTAGTTATACCTAGTGAACTGAAAGAAAGTTTTGTTGATTTCCAATAGGAGGAACCAGGGGTGATGAGTGACACTTCCACTTCCCTCCGTGACCCAATCTTCTACAACTGGCACAGATTCATTGATAACATATTCCACGAATACAAGAATACACTGAAGCCCTATGACCACGACGTGGTAATCCAATTTCTTATTATTGAAAATATGACATACATTCAAGCTTTGCTCTTACATTACGCTTAAAGTACTGAAACCTGAAGCTATGAAAGGTAACAGTTGTAAGTTTAAACCTAACCCTTGTCAACTTATCAACAAATCTGATGGTAACTCACTTGTTAATTTCCTCATTTTATGTTTGTTAAAACTGTCTTAAGAAAGTAAAACATAACAATTGGATTAATACATCGATAATAAAAATTTACAGCCATATATATATATATATATATATAGTACCGGGATAGAGGTCATAGTATCGACAAAGAACAGTCTCCGTTTACTTTATATATATATATATATATATATATATAGTACGGTAGTAGTAGTACGTAGTAGTACGTACGAACGAAACGTCGTCCGTTCCCGTTTACTTAATTATATATACGTACCGGTACGGTAG